ACATGATATAAACATAGGATATAAACATACATCGATAAAGCAGAAATCTGCAACAATTATTTCTTTTTTCATAAATCACGATAAAGTATTTGCAACAATTCATTTGCAATTTACTTTATAATTAAAATTCGATTGATCTATACCGAATATTTTCTAAATTATATTCTATATTCTATACAATGTTGTAATTATTTTATTACAATTTTATCAATATTTTTGTCAATTAGAAAAAATACATTGATCACCGATAATTCTTATTTTTTATTCATTTAAACAATTTATTTATTTAAACATTTTAAACAATTAAAATGAATTATCAATTTATATATTATTAATTTATTCATTGATATGATTATTTTGCTATTAAATTTGAAATATTATGTACAATAGAATTACGATAATATTTGTACAATAGAATCTTTTGTTGTTCGTTTATTGTCTATTTTTTTGTCTATATTATATTTTATTCTGAATTTTCATCTGAATGATATTTCATCTGAATTTTCTCGTATCAATAATATATATTATCCGAACAATATATATCCTTCTATTAGAATAAAAATTATATTTAAATATATTTCAAATACTAAATACTAATTTTATTTAATCATTATCGATATTTGTTATATATTATATATTTTGATTTTGATTTCTTTTTTTCTTTCTTTTATTTATTTACTTAAAGTGTTGTATATAATTTATTTTAATTTCAATCAATGATAAATATCTCGTTAAATAATATGGGAGGAAAGATATTTAATTGAATCGAATATGTATCTATGTATCTAAGAAAGAAAAATTTTAAGGTTAAAATTTTTAATTCAGAAAGATTTCATTTATACATACATACCGGCACGCGAGTACATAGAGAGGAATCAATTTATAATATTAAAAATTAATAAATTTAATTTAGATTTTTCATTTAATGATCAATCGATGAAATAGCATAAAATTATCATTTCTTATCATAACTGTATTTCGCATGTCGTTCCATTTCAATCGCAAATTCGAAGACAATCACAGGTGATTAAAAAATATCCATAAACGATACAATTCAATTTACGTGGTTCAAAATCACGATACGATATTCGCCTTTATGATTATTTTTGATTATTATTATTAATAAGAATTCGAGAGCCATTTTAAACCGCGATCGAGAAGATCGAGAAGAAGAATCACAATCGATAAAGAAGGAATCGAATCGTTCCACTCGGTAAAGATCGTCGAACCCTGTAGAGGCGCCTCGACCTTCGTTGCGGGCCCCAAAGAATTAAGAATCCTCTTGTTCACCGATAAACCTTGCCTGTAGCACGCAGGTGGGGCGAGGTGAAACGAAGTAAAGAGAGAGGAGAGAGATGGTTACTCCCGGTGCCCACCTGGCGTCTCACCCGAGGCTTCACGCCAAGTATTACTACGTCGCTGCTCGGACGAGTTGCTTATGGGATAGCACGCGTCAAACAAAGTGGCGAAAATCGTCGAGCACGAGGTTGTTTTTTTTTTTTTTTTTTTAATCGAGGGATCGGGAGCGCGCGAAACGTGATCGAAGAAGGTGGTAAAGATGATAGTCAACAACCATGTCGAAGGGCCGCCAACTTTCTCAGATGGACTAGAACAGGTGAACTGAAACGAGGAAATACGCTGAGCTGACTTCCTGTAAGATCGCATGTCCCAAGAGGATAGATTTCAAATCAAATTGTGGATCGTCATGATAAAGGTAGTTTGAATCTAGTTTAACGGTGATCGGAAGGATTTTAATTCTGTGAAATAAATTAATTGAAATTTGAAAAATTTGCTGCAAAGAAAGAAAAGTTAAATAAACTCGACTCACCGTTTCTTTATATTTCTTATATATCGTTTCCTTAGTTTCGAGGATGCTGAACTGTTGCTTTCTTTCGCGTTGGTTGTGCGAATGTTTCACAAACATGGGGAACGTGCGATTTTAAAAGGTGGCTTGAAGTATATGCGTGTTTCAATACGCAGAAACAGAGTGAAAGGAGTAACATTCAATCTGGTAGAACAGAGTTGCTTTGAGAAGAGCATCGATTATTTTTAAAATCTCGCACGAACCATTCGTTTTTTAATTTCTTCTATTTCGATGATTCAAAATTTATGAATCTCAATTGTGTTTCGTTACTTTTTAATAGAAGAATAATGAGAATGAATTTTCTTGAGAAATATAGATGGAAAATTTGTTTAAAAGTTGAAAGAGCACAAGAAGAATTGAAATCATTGACGATAGAATATTGGTGAGATTGAAGATAAGATATTGAAATAAGTTTTAGTTATTTTTAAAATTCTTATATTCAATAACTTATCCTTTAACAAAGCTTAATAATCAAGGTTTTAAAATTGCGATTAACAATGACAATTTCATGGATTCGTTTGCAAATCGAGGGAAAAAAAGAATTTATAGATAGTCGGTGACAGAGAGTAGAGGAAAAAAAAAAAAATATTGAAAGTTGGATAAATTATGTGTGATATTATATAATACCATCGATGTATGATCGATGTAATAAAAAGAAACGAGCAAAAGAAAGAATAACAAACGTACTAGTTACTAAGGAGTTGATAATTGAAAATCGAAAAATTTATAATAATATCACCAAAGATAATCACCATCCGAATAGAATTAAGAAAAATGTAATAAAAATATTCAACGAATGTATACATGTGAATCGTTTATTCGAAGAATTATCAAAAAATATTGGTCGTAGAATTTGGAAAAAGTTGACAACTTTGAAAATTAATAATATCGTTTGGACAAGATGTTCGTCTATGCCTAAATAATTAAAGGCATAGAAGAATGCGAGAAATCTGAATGAAAGAGCGATAAAGAGAAAAAAGAAAGAGAAGTCGGACGGCGTGGGAAGGAGAAAGTGGGAGAATCAGTTGGGAAGAGTGTGGTAAAATAGCGCGGAGTGGGATCATCGAATCGGTAGACTCGGATGTGCAAGGTCGGAAAGGAAGACGCGTTGTTGAGAGGCGGGAAGCGTGGAAATAAAAGTTGGTGTCGCTCGTTAAAAGGATGCGTGCGCGTGTGTGAAGGGGAATTTTTCCTTTGGAATCTTGATTTTTGCGTGTGTAGTGTGAGTATAGAACGGGACGGGAGGAGGAGGGTATCTAGCTGATGCTACCTAGCCGATGGAAAATATTTTCTGCTATGCGATTCCTGCTCGGCCATCGTGGGACTTCACCTGAGAGGTAAAATGCACGTGTTTTTTTTATCGTTGATAAAAATTATGAGATCAAGTTACAGAAAACTTATAAAAATAAGTAAATCGAAATCGAATTCATTGGAAAAGATTCGTTTAGCGGGATTCGAATATTATCATTATCCACCGATGAAAAGTTTTCGGCTAAATGCACAACGACGAGGAAAAACAAACAACTTGATCTCAAGAAATTGCATGATGAACGTAAGATTTCTTCTTACGTTTGCCAAGTATGATACATGTAATTTCAATGCGGTTGCCTCACATCGACGCTCAAACAGGCTCTATAAAACGTATTACTGGAATCGAATCAACATTATCTGGAATTTGTGCCAGCATATTACGGTGGAATGTTGCGTTCCAAGCAAGTTGTAAACACGAGATCGCGAATGTATTCAGTGAACGTGTGCACGTAGAATATTTTTTCGAAAAGAAATTTACGATTTCTCTTCGATTCTCTTCAACGTGTTAATGGAATTTTTTGTTTATCACAATAATTAATGAATATTGAAATAAAATTTGTCTTTTTTTCTTAATTTTAATTAATTTCACTTTTTTTTGTAAATATATATTTATATATTTTTAGTTTTAAAGCAATTTTAGAAATATATCATTTTATTTTATTCTATATTTTTAAACTATTCTATCAAATTATTACAATCTTATATAAAAGTATTAATAAATAATACAGTAGTAACAAAGTAATACAAAATAATAATGTATTTACAATTGATATTTTATTATTTATTATTTAATTAGAATGTAATTATTATATTAAATACGTGAATAACGTAATAATTGAGATGAAAATATTTTAAATATCAATAGTAATAAACTTGTGATACTTGGTTAGAGATAAAATCATAAGTAATATATATATTTATTTGTTCGAAAGCTTTTGAATAGTACGCATTCTTGATTAATAGATTAATTATAAATTGATCGATTTATTATTTTTAATAAAATACAAAAAGTTTTATTATATTTGTTTAATTTTAATCATAAAATTGATTTAAATTAAACAAATATATATAATATAATATATAATTATACATTTAGTATCATTTGACTATTTTAGTGTGTAATAACTGAAAACTTTTGTGAAATTGTTATTTTACTAAGAAAACTCATAAAGTTAATCGTATGACATATCATTAGTTGGGCTATGATTAACAGAATTACAATTATTGTTAAAAGATGCTGAATAGACATGAAAAGTAATTTTGAATGTAGATTCAAATGAACGGAAGAGAATAGCGTAATCAAAATGCGGAAATGCAATGATATAAAATTTAATCGTGATTATAGAAAGGTGAAAGTAAATAGTAAGATTATATATACTTGTATACATTATCATCGAATGATGATCGCATATACGCTAATTACCAAATTTGGACAAATAAAACTATTGTATAATAAACTAAAATTATACGGTTATTAACGTTATTAACGGAAAAATTATATGCACAATAGATAATATCCGAAAAGATTGAAAGTTTTTAATTTACATATATATATATCTATTCTTGTTTCCAAAAATATTGGTATAATTTGTAAAACAAATTGAAGAAATATATATATTTTGAAAATGTGTAAAAATATTTGAACGCGTTATAAATTTATGTTGTTGAATTAATAAAAAAATAATCAATTTTTGATAAAGATTTTTACGTATGGCTATCTCTATATATTAATTGTTAAAAAAATATAAATAAATGATAAAATTATTGGATAAATTATGATATAACATTAGTAAATTTTGAGAAGATAAAAAGAAGGAAAATATATAGGAAAATATAAAGCTGCGAGTTAGTTTCTAAGATATTGATAAAAATCTTCCGATGTTGAATGTTGTCTACGCGTGAAAATATCGATTAAATGTCATTTTTCTATCATTTCCATTTTTACAAATAATCAAACTTGTATATCCATCACACTTGGTATCTATTCGCAAAAAGATTTGAAAATAAAATATAAAACAATTCTTAAACGATATATTGAATAGATCAGCCAATACTATATGTTTATAAATAGGTGAGGATCCATTTGTGGATAGGTATTCAACGCATAATACATCGACAAATTTCTAATAAAACTCGCGATTAAAATTTTATTATATTTAAATATCTATCCTATCTCTTGTCAAAATTTCGATTCAAGTATGACGGTTGAATCGTATCGTGTATTTGTTACAATTTTACTTTTGAATAAAATTTAACTGAATTTGAATAAAATTTTTCTAACGATTTCACACAGGCTTTGTCAGTTGTTTAATACACGAAACAAAAATATTTTGACTGATGAATTCCACAAAAATGTTTCTCATGGAATTAGAAGACGAGAAGAATTAGAAGGTTAAATTCAAATCAATAATATCTTTCGCAAATATATTTGACGATAGGTGAATTATCGCGTTGAAGTAATTTTCAATATCAAAACGAAATAAAAGAACAGAAAAGGAACGATTCTCCAAGGATTTAGCCGATTTATTCTTTTTTTTTTTTTCTGGACAAATCTAGCGGGACACGAAGATGTGCTGTGTTCATCGTGGCTTTATTTTATCATTGGTCAGTGGATAGATAGACAAAGGTGCTGTACAGTTATCCACGAAACGGTTGATACGCGTTACAGCAAAGATGAAGGCAGGCAAAACAGCAGATGTTCGATACCGTTGAAAATACGCGAATGCTTCGAACGCTTCCACGAAGAAAATCACTCGAACCGACGCGACGGATATTTGGGAGGAGGAAGGGAATTTTTCGCTCGTTCGAAGGATCAAACTACCAGATGATTCGACGATAGGACGAGGAAACTCGATCGTTTATTACGGCGGAGAGTAGTGATTTTCGCGATTAGAAAGGAAAAATAAATAACTGTGCGATGTATGTGTATGTGATTGTCGAGAAAACGAGCAACAGGGATCGAGAAATGGGAGCTTGTAAAACTGGTACGGAGGCGTTTTGCTTTTTCTCCGATGCTAATATTAAGCCGGTCGGAAAACTTGGACGTTTCTTCGTACACTTCTTGGACCGACGATATGATATATCAAATCGTTGAACGAAAAATTATTTAAAGCGAATATATCTATATGGAATATCTAATATAGAATAATATAAATATTTTTTAAAGTATTTGAAAAAGTTAAAAATATATTCTTGATTATGCCTTTTGATATGATAATAAAATATTTTTATATTTTTATTTCTAGATGGGATGAAAGGAAAGGTATGTAAAAAAAAAAAAAAAATGCGAAAATCGACGCGATATCAGCGTGAAAGTAAAAAGAACGTCAACAATTGACAATAATTGGCAATAATTTTCAAGCCACTTTTCACGTGATGTTTTCGATTTCTAAACAAGATAGAAACATGGAAATATCAAAAGAATATATTTATGCGATAATATAAGCAAGATCTTACTAAATGATATCGTACAAACTAAATTGACTATAACAGAAGCGAAGCGAAGTTCGATGAATCGTTACTTAGCTTAGCTAATATTCAATATTCAATATTGAATATTCAATTGCTTTATAAATGACACTTATCATACATATCATACTCGGCGATAATGCTTCTTTTTAAAAGATAAACTTTCTTATAACCAGATTTTCTTAACGCATCTTGTTTATTAATTTTTCTTATTACTTTGAGAGATAGAAGTTCTAGCCTAATTTAATGATTTTTCTTATACATGTATTTTTTTTTTTTTTACAAATATTCAATAAATAATCAATTATCAAATTATCAACCAATTTATCAAAATATTTATTATATGTTAAAATTTATAATTTTT